CTCGTTCAATTATCCCTGCCAGTGGCTGTGCAATGATGTCGGCCAGTGCCTTCAGTACCCTCGGATGGAGCTCGTCCGGGCCTGCCGACTTAAATGCATCCAGTTCCTCCAAGTGCCTCTGCACCATCTCAGGGTCTACGCATGGTAGTCTGGCGTCTTGCGGCTGCCTCTCTACAATCCCAGTGAGAGACTTGTCTTGCCCCTCACTTAGGAACACTGATGCAAAGAACTCGTTGAGGAGTTCAGCCTTGTCCCCCCTGTCCGTCGTCGATTGCTTCTGCCCATTTAGTAGGGATCCTATTCCTCCCTGGGCCTTCCTTTTACTCCCTATATATCTAAAAAACAATTTCTTGTTATCCTTTTTTCTTGGGATGCCATCCTCAGCTCCATGGTGGCTTTGGCCCATCTAACTGCCTCCCTACAAGCGCAAGCAGAGGAGGTATACTCCTCTGGTGATCTCTCCCTGTTTCCACTTTTTATGTGCTCCCCTTTTGGCCCGTAGGCTGCCCTGGATTTCTCTGGTCAGCCAAGGAAGCCTCCTGGCCCCATCCAGTTTATTTTCTAATCAGGCTGTTAAGGTTGTTGCTTACAAACTGAAGGTTCCTTCTGATTTTCTGTTTTTATCTTGTGTGGAGACCTGTGTTTGTCTCAAAAAAGAAGCAGTGCTTGAGCTTAAACTGGAAATACTGAATAAACAGTGGAGATGCCTGCCAAAAAGACCTCAGCATTGAAATTTATGTTGGTAACATACTTGCCGTGTTTGTAAGAAAACCCTGACCTTCCATAGCCATGCCCTTACCACTTTATGATTACAGTGGCCTGGAGAAACAAACAAGGCAATAATACAGGCATACTTGGGAATGTGCTCATAGATGTTTCCTTCAAGCTAATGCAGCAATATCACTTTATTTGACTTGTGGATGAAGTTGATTGTGGGCATTCTCTAATCATTGGCATCTCTTGCATTGATATAGCAGGGTTTTTGGTTGTAGCTGTGTTGGTCTAAGGATATAGGCAGGCAAGCCTCTTTGGGTCGATGTGATATCTTTTATTAGATCAGCTGAGCAGTTGGAAGAAAAAAGTTCTTTGCAAGCTTTTGGGCACAAGCACCCTTCTTGCAAAGAACTTTTTTCTTCCAACTACTCAGTTGGTCTAATAAAAGATATCACATTTACCCAGAGAAGCTTGGTTCACTTTGATCTTTACATTGTAGATGTGGAGGAGCATATCAGGCGATTAGAAGAAAGGATGGAAGAAGGAACTGACTGTGGGCTTTGAGCATTCTGGGAGTCACTGGCTACAGCCTCATCAGGCTGGAGATCTTTTGGTGGTCTGTGCTGTACAGGATGCGTTTCTAGTCAAAAGCACCTTTCTCATGTGATTGCCATACTTCTGCATGGTCCACAGCATTGTGCTTACAATACATTGTGTCCTGACCATGATTATAACCTTATTAAAGGAATCTTATTACTGCCCTGTTCCTTGACAAGGCTAAAACTGGATTTGATTTTATTTGCCCAGGCAAAAAGCACATCTCTTATGGCATGATCAGGAAATGTTGGAATATGGCACTAATAAAGCATAGATAAGGCCTGAGACTCAACATCCATCTGCATTCAGAAACTGGGGCAGAGAGCTGCCGGGCAGGTTACATCCTTGCATAAATTCAAAGGACATATGGCGTTCATGATGACAAATTCATGAGAAATGCTTACGCAGAGAAACAGCTAGATTAGATGCGCTTATGTAAAAGCAAACTATGAAGGGATGCTCTGTCTTTCAGAATAGCAAATGTTTGCACACTGATTGATTGACTAAGCACTGTTAAGTGGTACCAATACCCTCTAGACTTGTTTTAGTGGGATATGTGTATAGAAATATGTCTATGACTCTCTTCTAAGTTGTTTATCCAGTGATTCATATGGGCAGAAAAAACTACTGAAAATGTTTATAAATTAATTGTTCCTTGCTGCATGTTTCTACCAGTGTGGTTTCTGTTTTAAAAAACTATTGAACAAGAGTTCATGCTTACATAATATAGCAGTGAGAAAGAGGAAACATTTTAATCACTGAACAAACCCTAACTTTTTTTTTTTTTTTTTTTTTTTAGAAGTACTGGGGTCATTCGGATAGGGATTCAACTTGTAGAGTCTTATCTGAAACATTGCAGCAGAGGAAGCCACCTGGTAGGCTGTTTATTTTTCTATGAAGGACGGAGGGCTGAGCAAAGCATAGGAGGATTTGAATCTGTGGTCTAGGGACCTGAGCTATGCCAAGTTCATTGTTTGGAGCAATTAGCTAGCCACTAAATAAATAAGTTCTCTTTCTTGCTCTAGCCCAAATAGGGGGAGTCTTTAAGTGCTGTGTTTGGCTCTGACACATGCACTCCCTTTCCCTTATACAGGTGGTTGAATGATTAGATCTCAGTCTGCTTTCTTACTCGCATTGAGTAGAACCTTATACCAGAAACTAGAAGGATGAAATTAGACCTTTTATTTGTAATTTTAATGTAGTTCTTGACCCACGTATCTCAAATTCAAACAATGCCGGAAAAAGAGAGGCATTTATTTGCCACCCATTTTCAAACACAGGAAGTCAATATAGGAAATTTGAAGATTTGAATCGGTGAATGCACCCAATCAATCTTCCCACTGCAAACTTTTGCCATCTGCAGACTTGCCTGGATTTCAATCAATCAATCAATCTTGCACTGGTAAAATGTCTCCTGCCTCAGGGCTCTGCACTAATTTACTGTAACAAGCAAAGGCCATTAATATTTAAAAAGCTGCATTTTTAAAAGAAATGACATAGGCTTGACTTAATGCTGGGTGTGCTGTGAATCAATTTCCATAGCTGGCAGCAGAGAGAGAGAGAGAGAGAGAGGTGAATCATGACTTATCCTTATCCCTTAATCTTTCCACATGGTTCAGTTGAAACCCATTTAGGGGCTTAACAATGTGAGTAAGCCAGTGAACATGGAATTAAGTGCTGTAGAAGGATAAGATGCACAAACCTGCCAGATGCTTCATAAAAGTTGGGATCATTTTAATTATCAGCTTGTGGTTTTAATTTGGGGCCATGGGGTGGCAGGGGTTCAAAAGCTGGTCAGCAGTTTGGTAGCAGAACTCTGCGCAAACTGCAAGTGTTGATGCAGGGGCCTGAAAGATCAACAAAGCTGCAGGTCTAAGTGAAATGATATCATGGATTACAATTAGTGTCATTGGCCTAGGGATGCAAGTTTTTCATATTGACCCAAGTTCCTCAGATAGCAGCAAGGCACCCTAATCAAATAACCTGTGGGGAGGATTCAAAAGAGAGCTCAGAATCAGTCAATGTGACCTCCAGGTTTATTGACGGTAAATTAGCATGCCCGCCCTGGGTAGCAATTTCACTGCAGGAGAAAGGATGTCACAAGAATTATCTGAGGCTGAGCAAAGATGGTTTGGGCATGACTTCCCAGAAACACAGCAAACAGGGCTGGGAATCTACTCTTTTTACTAACAGCTGAAATCCCGGTATAAGAAGGTGAGACCAGAAGCCAGGGCATTAGGAAATAGGGTGGTGTGGGAGCAATAAAATGACTTAAGTTGGCAACTAATGAACTCCAGTTACTTAATCCAGAATCACCTGGGGCCTTGCTTCTGGAAATACTTACCATGTGAAGAGTTGGCATTTCTAAACCCCACTTCTCTCAAGATGTTGACATTAAGGTAAAATTGTAATTGGGGGGGGTTGGGTTGGGTGGTTTTTTTCTGTGGCTGGACCAGACCAAATCTAATTGTAACCAGATAAAGGGATAGTGCTGCAGCAGGCTGGTTTTACCACAGTCATAACCACACCATGGTGGAAGGAACCAGGTGGGACCATTTCAAAAGGTTTAGAAATGGGGAATGGAGAATCTGAGGTAAGGAGCTTTTAAAAAAAAAAATGGCATCAGGCCACGGAGCAGCTCACAGAACAAAGTGATTTGAGCTTATCTGCCTTGTCTCCTATGGGAAAGGTCCCTCTGGCGTACAGCCGTGCCCCAAATGACTGCCTTCACTATGGGGTGCTGAGGGAGGGGCAAGTACAGCCCCACGGAAACAGTGCTCTTCATGCAGAGGCCGGTAACCCAGGCATGATGGAAAAAGATCTGTGTGCGGGGGCTGGTGCAGCAGCGAGGGCAGAGCAAAGGCTGACATGAGCAGGCCGGACACTCCTTTGTTTGTTGCAGGTATTTGCTCCCCAAATATCCCCCTTGAGCTGTGTGTACGTTTCCCCACACCAGCGTGCACATGTGTATGTTTCCCAACACCAGTGTCCCCATGTGTTTCACACACCGCGATTTCCCCCCAGCAGTGTGTACGTATGCAAGTATTTCCCCACACCACTATACACACGTGTATTCAACACTAGTGCACGTGTATATTTCCCCACAGTGTGTGTGTACATTGTACATCTCCCCCCACCAGTATGCATGTGCATATATTACCGCTATCGCTGTGTGTGTAGATAACAGCAGGCACATACCCTCCCCCACTCCAGTACACACCCCAGTAGCGTGTGTCCTTATACCCCTGTATTTCTCCACTTCAGTGTGTATATCTACCCCGACTCCCACACGTGTCCCCACCCCAAGG